CATGGGTGACAGGACAGGCAATATATAACAAGAAGGAGTTTGATAGAGGAAAGATGAAGGTAGCCAGGGAAACAGGGTAGAACAGAATAGTTAAAGTGAATAGAGATAAATACTGCTACCTGATGGTACATGGAGGGGATTGCAATCACTGTAATGAAGCAAAGTATATTCTTTTTTGAATGTAAAACTGATGATCTGTTTGCTCTATCAACCTTCATTCAATTTACAATAAGAAGTTTTAAAAAACAAACCAAAAAACTGTTTCTCTCAGTTCTCCACATTTATTTGGCACAGACTCCTTTTCAGAGTTACACTACTAACATCTTGTGGGGTTCTGGGTTTCCACAGAATTCTAAGCGGTAAAAGCCAGGTCAGCTGATGTAAAGGAAAGCCTGTCTGGGGAATTAATTAGCAAAGTCACACAGGAGAAGTGAGCAGGAGGTGTTAGGTTCTTCCTCTGTGCAGAGATGGCTGGGGCAAGGCTCTTGGGAGGGTTAAAGACCAGGAAAGTCTGCCTTCCACTGAGTGCTGAGCAGGACACCAAGACAGAGGGGTCTTCTTGCTGAATCTCTTTTAGAAAAAGCCACCAACCTCATCAATCCTTTTTGAAAGATCCCCCTTCTTCACTGAAAACCTGGCCTACAGCTGATATTCTAAGTTAAGCAGAAAAATCTTTGGCCCAAAGTTTGCATACATAGAAAACAAGCTTCGTTAGTGGTGGCAGGAAAGCAATAGAAACTGAAGTCTATTAGGTAAAAGGTTGGTTATTGTCCCATATAAATGAAAGGAATCTGGTGTTTACAGAAATGATGATAAAAAGTGCAGTAGTTTCTAGCTTCCAGGACACATAGAGTGCTAGCTGTTTCAGTGTTCGCCGTGAACGGTTTTTGTGAGTAAAGGGTTGGTTTCTGCAGGGGTGAAGCCCAGGGTGATGGCCTAATCCCCCTACAAGGTCAGCTGCTCCATGGTACTTGCTGGCCTTCCATGGGAAAGTGCACATCTCTTTGTAGCAACTTTATGTGGGAGATTTTGAGATGGGTACACCTGGTGGTTACCCCCAGAACCACCTCAATGCACCTGCCCAGAGCACCTGATGGCACTGTGGTCCCCTCTGCCACAAAGATGCTCCCTCCCCCAGCTCACCTGATAGAGCAGGGACTTGAGTGGCCCGCCTCCTGTGCTGAAGGAGTCACTCAGGCTCCACTTGGTCCTCATCAAGCCACCACCAGGACCCCAGCTGGGCCTTGTCACTATCCCTGTACATGGTCGGCCACCTGCAGCACCTCTGACGTGAGGGTGGGGGCTTGCCAATCCCTCTATGGTTTGGGCTCTGGCACTGACCCTGCCTTGCAGCTGGACACCAACCTGGGCATTTAGCACCCTTGGGGAGGTGTCTTGCTTCCCTGCCGCCTCTGTCACGTGGTGAAGACTTATGGCTGATTCTGTCCTCCTGTCTAATTCTGGCCACATTGGCTTCTGTTCAGAGCTCTGTGGAACCACCAGCTTGGGGCTCTCCCTGGACTGGGCATTCTGCCCTTTCCTCCCACACCTGGAGGGACTTGAAGATACAGAGTTAGGACAGGGCTGGCATTAGCTGGTAACAGCTACTCAGCTGCATGAGATGAAATCCAAAGATAAGTGACCTTGTTGGTGTTAGGTACCATCGAGTCGGTACCAACTCATATTGACCTTATGTACAACATAATGAAACACTGCCTGATCTGGGGCCAGCCTCACAATTGTTGTCATGCTTAGCCCAAATGACATTGCCACTTTGCCAAGATGCCTTTTTAGTCATGATATGCACATTGGTGAAGCTGGGGTTTTTACCACAGGCCTATCCTCCTGTCTGGGTACAGCCAGTCTTGCTACAGAATCACTGGACAGATCACCTGAGTTCATTCCACAAATCTAGTTTGTGTCCTTGGACAGGTGAATTATGCTATGACTTTGTGCCTCAGTTTCCTCATCTGCTAAAAGGGAGCAATCATGGTACTTATTACTTCCTCCAGTCAGGATAGAGTTTCTCCCCTGAGAAGAGTGTGTCCCATTTTGTGGCTTACATATAAGGAGGATTGGCAAAGTGGCAGCATCAATGGGCTCAAACGTAGCAATGATTGAAAGGTTGGCCCAGGATTGGGCAGTGTTTCGTTCTGCATAGGGTTGCCATGAGTCAGTACTAACTTGATGGCACCTAACAACAACAACAACAACAATCTTCACCACTGGACCAATAAATAACATCATGATAAATGGAGAAAAGATTGAAGCTGTCAAAGACGTCATTTTGCTTGGATCTATCATCAAAACTTGTGGAATCAGCAGTCAAGAGATCAAATGACATAATGCATTGGGCAAATCTGCTGCACAAAACTTCTTTAAAGTAAAGTGTTGAAGAGCAAAGATGTCAGTTTGAGGACTAAGGTGCACGTGATCCAAGCTATCATGATATTTTCAATAACTTCATATGCATGTGAAAGTTGGGCAACGAATAAGGAAGACCGTAGAAGAATTGATGCTTTTGAGTTACAGTGTTGGAGGAGAATATTAAGGGTACCATTGACTGCCAGATGAACAAACAGATCTTTGTTGGAAGAAGTACAACCAGAATGTTTCTTGGAAGCCAGAATGGCCAGACTTTGTCTCTCATATTTTGGACATATTATCAGAGGGACCAGTCCCTGTAGAAGGACATCATGCTTGGTAAAGTGGAGGGTCAGCAGAAAAGAGGAAGACCCCCAATAAGATGGATTGGGACAATGGCAGCAGCAATGGGCTCAAGCATGGTGGCAATTGTGGGGATGGTGTAGTACCATTCTGTTGTGCATATGGTTGCAACCGACTCGATGGCACCTAACAACAACAACAAAGTGACAGAATAAAGTCCAGAGGATGTCTCTTGCTGCAACTGCGCAAGTTCTACAAAGGGCAGAGATGTACCCCAGTTCATCGAGAGGAGGCCAGAAGGCTTAGTTAGACTCCAGGCCTGCCAGCTGCTCCAAGGTGGTGCCTCATCTTAGAGGAAGCTGCATTCCCTAAGATGCAAATCTGTGGTCTCTAGGAGGGGATCCAAACTAGCTCTGCAGCAAGGCTGGCTCTGGCATCTCTCACTCAAATTTGGATACAGAGTCACAGCTGCATGGTCCTGGGCACGTTACCAACTTCTCTGAGAGTCAGACTGCCCTGTTTTCTTATCTGTGGGCAGCCCAATGGGAAGAAACCTTTTGGATTGCAAAGGTCCAATGCCCAAACCATCCTGGGCATGGTGTAGAAGCAGACAGCATTTCCTGCTGATGTGCATGGAATTGGGGCTGACTTGATAGTGCTAAAATTAACAACAGCAGCATTCCTTGTGTACAAGACAGTCAGTGAGATCGCAGTGAGCATCACGTGCAGACAGTGTCTTGCCCTCACTTGGCAAGCCCTTGGTGCTCACTCTGTGCTGAGGGTCCAGGGAAGCTAGCCTCCCACATCAGCCCAGGAGCACACAGGGATCAGGAGCCCTGGCAGAGTCAGCTGGCAGGAGGGAAGCACCAGCCAGGCCACCTCTCCTATGCTGACTTGGGGCCTTTCACATCCTGTCTAAGGCACCAGGCTGTGCACGGTTCAGCCTTGTCCTGCTGGGTGCAACAGGCCCCCTCCACTGACCAGCTACAATCCCAGAGTTGGCTTCTGGCAGTCTCACTTTCTGACTTGGGAGATAGCTCCTCCCCAAGTCTGGTCAGTAACTGTTAGCAAAATTTAGTGAGTGTTTAGGGAGGGAAGGCTTGGGACTAGGGCTTCTTGGTGTGTGGCCCTGCCACCTGTGGTTGGTTGGGCCCTCTCTCAGCTGGCAGACTCTGTCTGCTGGGCTGAGCTGTGGCTGCCTGCAGGGAAGAAACTCAAGGAGAGGGTGCTCCTGCTCACTTGACACACGATCATAGCCCTCCTGACTCCATGCTGAGGCCTCCGAGGCTGTACCAGGACGGTGGTGAGAGAGACTACCACACCTGCTGCAGGCTTCCAATGACTGTTCACAAAGAGTCAAGGAAGCACAACCACATCGACTAGACTCTGTTGTTGTTGTTAAGTGCTGCCAAGTCGGCTTCGACTCATAGCAATCCTGTATAGGGTTCCCAAGGAGCAGCTGATGGGTTTGAACTGCTGACCCTGTGGTCGAGTGCTTGTCCTACAGTGCTACATCAGGACTGTAGGAAATCACAGTAGGAGCTGGGACCAGGGTAATGAAATGTGACAGAGATGAGGTGACAGGGAAGCTTCTCCAAGGAGCTGACCTATGAGCTGAGCTGAGTAAAGCACCTGAGAGCAGAGGAGAGAGTGTCTGTCAGCTGAAAGGCTGGGGTAGCACCCAGACAGGGGCTGGGCTGGGGCACGGGAGGTATGGCCATTCGAGCCTTCTATGCTTAGCACAAATGAGCTGGTTTGAGTTTTAGAAGGCATGCTGGTTGCCACATGGAGAACGGCCTATCAGACCCCATGAGGGGCTACTTCAGGGGTCTGGGTAAGAGGGCGTGGCATGACTAGTGGAGGGCGAGGAGGCAGAATAGCGATGAGGAGGGATGAGAAATGTGAGAGTGGTAGTTGAGGGACACAGTCCTGATAAAAAGTGTGGGCCTCCGTGCTGAAGGCCCCAAGCACCTCCTTAGTGCAGTCCCAGGAGACCGAGCTGGACACCATAGACGACCTATCGACCATGCGCAGGCAGAAACAGGAATGCACAATGGTAGGTCAGAAAGAGCACTCCACCTCACAGACATGCAGGAATGAGGAGACTTAGGAGAAGTCTCAGACTAGCCTCTAATTTGCCAGAAGAGTCCACAGAGAGCCTTTGGAAACCACCTTATGTGTGCCTTTCTAAATGGGCTCCCCGGTGCCCTGCCAGGGTAAAGTGGATTGTTGCCTGGTTTTACAGATGAAGACACTGGGGCTTTGTGAGATTCAGACTTGCCCATGCTTTAGGCCTGTCCCCTGGCCCGCAGCCTGGGTTGCCCCCTGCTCACCATTCGGACATCTTCAGGCAGGTCTTCATTGAACTCGCCCTTGACAATCTTCTCCAGGGTGTTGATGGAGATCTCTAGGAGTTTCTCGTGGTGGTGGTTCTCCAGGTCCCGACACTGAGCCATGGTGCACTGAGAGTTAAGGATAGTTGGGGCAGCAGGGTGGGGAGGGGCAATGGCAGGGGCTTCTAATCAACATTCCAAACACCAGAGAACAGGCTCTGGGGGCAGAAGGGCGCTCTCTGAGCCATGAACACACCAGCACCCTTATTCCCTACCACATGTCTGTCCACACTCCATCTCTGTCCACCATTGTCTCTCTCCGTGCCCACCGCTGCCCAGGGCCAGCCCTGCCTCTCCTCCAGGCAGCAGTCATAGCAAGCTTTCAAAGGTAGAGGCAGACTGGGTCCCGTCCCATTGGCCCACCAACTTATCTTGAGACCTCAAATGATGCTGGTGGTCTGCTAGCCACCTCTCCTCTGCTGACTTCAGGGCCTGTCCTTAGGACTCCACCTTTCCCTGTAGCCTCCACCTGACCTCTCAGTGCCCCCTTCAGTCTACTGGCTTGGTGCCACTCACCTTGCACTTCTATTTCCATTCTTTCCGTCCACAACTGCTGCCTCCTGCCTAAGTGTCCCATGGGGGCAGGAGGCAAAGGGCGTTTCTGGGGCAGAGCCCAACTGTTTGCCCCACCACAGCCTGTATCAGGACCCAAATACCCAACAACCAGCACATGTTTGCCCACTGAATGCAGGGCATGATGGTGATTCTGGAGTTTCATTGTACATGCATGTCACCCACTTGGGGACAAACACGCCAGGACTCCTGCACCTCTGCACAGGGTCACACCAGGATCTAAACTGTTACTCCGACAGGGCCATTGTGGGTGTCTGGGAGACAACCTCAAGTCCTGGGTCTTGAACATTCTAAATAATTGCCCACTCTTGATCCTTTCAAGGTAAGCTTTTTTCCTTGGTGAAAAACAAGAGTTGACTTGTGCATAAATTAAAATATCATCTTGGTGGAGGTGTAGATCTTCATGTAAAGCAAATGTAGGGAGTGGCTATTTCTGGTAAAAAGAACTATAAAGCACTGGGTTTTTATTATCTGTGTAAACCTCCTGTTGAGCTGAGGTGCTAGTGTGGTCACCTAGAAGGGACCCACTTATCTGCATTCTGCCTAGTCTGCTCAGCAGCTTCCCTTCTCCTGCTTCTGGCCCTCTGGAGGTGGGAGTGGGGGGCCAACAGCACCCGGCCTTCCCATCGTGTGTCTTCACAGGAAGGATATAGGCTTTGGACATTTTCAATAAAGAGTCCCACCAAGTCTACGATGTTCCTTTCAAACAAGTTTATCATCTCCTGGGAATGATAAAGAACACAGTTAACACGTGCATTTAGACTCAAGGGCCTGGAGTCAGGCCAGAAGGCACTACTGAGCATGCGACCAGCCAGACAGCCTCTGCTTTCAACCTTCAGGTTTCAGGCCTGCCTCCACTATACTGGGGAGCTATGAATGCCTCCCAACCTAGCTGTTACTGTCTGGCAACATTAGCGCACTTGCCAGGCCCTGAATGTTCACTGCTTCTCCCAGGCCTTTGCCTGGTCTGGCCCCTCTGTCAGCAGTCCTTGTCTGGTCTTGCTCCCAAAGCCTGTCACAGCTACCCGCTTCTCAATGTGACCGTCTCTCACTCCATAGAAACAGTACAAGAGTCTTCTCCCAGCTCTACCGCTGTCTGCAACCATGGGGCAGTATTTGATCCACATCTGCCTCACTGCTAGTTGTTGCTGTTGAGTCAGTTCTTCTGACTCCTAGTGGCCATGTACAGGGCTTCCAGGGAGCAGCTAGTGGGTTTGAACTGCTGACATTGTGGTTTGCAGCTCAGTGCTTATCCTACAGCACCACAGAAGAAGTCACTTTGTTGGTGGGTTATGTGCTGTGGAGTCAGTTCTGAATCATAGTAACCCTGCATAGGGTTTCCAAGGCTATAAATCTTTATGGGAGCAGAAAGTCTTATCTTTTTCCCATGGAACAGCTGGTAGTTTTGAACTGCTGATCTTGAAATTAGCAGCCCAACTTGTAACCACTGGGTTTTCAAGTAGTGCCTGGTCTTACGGAGTTGGTGTAAGGCCCAAATGAGTCCCTTCCAACAGACTGGAGGAAACCTTCAGGAAAGGCATCACCCTGACTTTCTACAGCTGTGCCCTCTGCAAGCCTGTGTTCTTATGCTGCAGACACCGAGGGCCTGCTTGGGGCTAAGTGGACTGGCTGCAGAGCAGAAATGGGGTCTCAGGGCCTATACCCCCATGATGGGTCATTCTCCTGCATGGCCCTAAACCCAGGGGCAGTAGGCAGAATCTCCATGAGTCCTGTCTGCAGGCCAAGCCAGTCACGCATTTCTTAATCACGTGCAAATTCAGCTATGATGTATGCATTCATTGGGAAACACAACTGCCCTGCAGCTTCTTGGCCACTGGTCGTGCAAGCATGCCTGCGCATGGGCTTTGCTTGAGGAGTGTGGGCAGCCTTGCCTCTCTGGATCATGCTTGCTGTGTGTGGAGAGTTGGTCTGCAGCCCCATGGATAAAGAAGCTGTTGTGGGACATGTGACAAGTCCGTCCCATATCTGGCCTGGGAGGAGTTGATTTGGTGCTATCTCCTGGCCCAGCTGTGGCAGCATCCAACTCAATTCATCACACCACCCAGACCTCCAGCTTGGCACCTCATGAACACAAAGACATACATCACTCTGGTTGCTAATGACTTTTGAAGAACAGCACTTAGTGCTGAACTGCAGGCTCCAAAATGCAGCAACGTCCTGCTGCAGGTGGGGCCAGTCTGTTTCCCAAATTTTTGAACAGCTCCTGGAGCTGAAATCTGTAACAGATTTCTCCACACTCATTCGCCATAATAACCACCTTAAACCTAGCCGATAGACAGAGGAAAATCCAGACACTGGCTTCCAGCTTGTGACCCACAGCCTGTCCTGGGGACTTTGGGGAAGAGCCTCATGCTCAGAACAGGTGGGACTCTGGCCCGCCACTCCTGCCAAGACCACTCACCTCCAGCTGCTCCACCAGCTGCATCTCCAGGGTCATGAGTATGTTGAACAGCTGAGTGATGTCCTCACCACACTCCACAATTTTCTCCTCGATGACGGGCATCTCAGACTCGTCTCGAACAGCACTTAAGTTCTGGAAACAAAGCTTGTGCTTGAGGAATCTGCAATTACTTGTAACTAGCTCATGCCAGGGGACAATTGGCTTTGTGGGTAAGAATATGGACTCTAATCCGTCTTCTGCCTATAACTGATTGGAATACCTAAAATGGGGCTACAATGTGCCCAGTGAAGGAGGCTGCCTGCGGAGCCTCTGCATTACATAAGACTATAGGTGGAATCCTGATCAGCATCCAGAATCTTTAGAGGTGGGAAATTTCCCCCTGAGAGGATGGGCAGACTAGCCTGGAGTGGTTAGAAGAACAGAAGATACCTCTTGAAAGAAAGACTGACAGGAAAAACAAAACAATAGAGGCAGACCGACCAATTACTACAAGAACAAGCAAGTTGCCCACCCAGGAGACATCAAGGCAAGGGGTCGGGTCCCCTCAGAGTAGACCCCCTTCCAAGACTAAGACTCAATAGGAATACATGCCCTGATGGGTGACCACGTTTGCCACCGATGGAGGGAAGTGAGAGAAAAAAAACTATGAGGCTGTGAGCTAAGCCCTACAATGTTCAATAGACTCCTGTGAACCCAGGTGGAGACCTGGTTGGCCAGCAGTGTGGCAAGACCTGGGGACTCTTGGGCCCAGAGTCAGTGACATAGCCATTGAGGATTGGAGTGGAGGGTGAAGTGTCCAGTGGATAAGAAGAGAGGGCATATCCACAAGAGCATCCACACTTGCAGATAATACCTACTTGACCTGGCCTCAATGACTGGGTGATCAGAGCTCAACTAGAAGAAGAAAGAAGAAAAAAGGAGTAATCTGATACAATTTGATGAACTTGACCTACACCTATGGATGCAGTAGCTCAAAACAGGGAGCAAATCTTTGTAGCAGGGATCATTCCCACCCTCTCCATACACAGAGTGGACAGGGATGGGCAATTTGGACATTGGCTACCCAAAATGGGGGGGGCTGGCTTACAAGCTTTCAAGAGTGAACCTAGAGAGGAGAACAAACAAGATGGCGGATCGGGTGGATGTATAGCAGAGAGCTCCGCCAACAACAACACAGAATACCCGACCAAACAGGCTCAGGGATGGTCCCAGAACTCTGAACCACATATAAAGGAATACTTAGAAGGTTGGAAGGCTCACAGCTGGGGGAATTTGTGGC